GCGGGCGGCACCACCAGGACGCCGGCGGCGGCCGCTCGCGGCAGGGCCGCATCGCCGGCCTTGCCGCCGCGGCGGGAGATGGTGAACTGGTTGGGGTCCTTGCCGTCCTTGCGCAGCATGTCGGGCAGCAGCCGCCTCCGCGCGTTGATGAACCAGTTGCAGATCTGCAAGGGGAGAGAGCATGGCGGCACGCTCAGGCCGGGGCTCCGCAGAGCCAGGGCGGCCTCTCCAGAGGCTCCTTCCCCGCGGGCTCTGGCAAGGCTGGGCACTGCGACCCGACGGAAACCACAGCGCCGTCTGCTTCCTGCCTGGCACCAGCTCCCACGGGCTCCGTCCCTGCCCTCGGGGCATATCCTGCTGCTGGTGCAGGTGCCCAGCGGGTGCCACGCTCAGGCCGGAGCCCTGGCACGCGCGGCCTCCCCAGCAGGGGCTCACGGCCTCATCCGGGAAGACCCCCTGCCTGGGCCAGTCCCTCCGTGAGACACCGGCCAGGGACGGAGCAGCTCTTGGATGCTGGTGGCCCTGACCCAGGAGGGGACGGGCCCCGCAATGCCTCAGCCTGGCCCCCAAGCCCTGGCGGCTCTGACCACGCAGCCAAGGCCGGGCAAAGCTCAGGTAACCCTCCCAGGGCACGGGGAATTTGCACAGGGACAGCCCAGGCATCAGCAGACTCCAGGAATCCCCAGGTCAGAGCGCAGAGGGCATTTTCCTGCTTTTTGTGGAGCAGATCCCTGCCCTGACCATGCCAACGAGTGCCGAAAGGCAGCCACGTCCGGGGGAAACAACTGAGGCTGCAAAGCACAGACCGACAGCCTGCACGGGAGACCCTAAACCCTGCAATGGCCCTGCACAGAGCTGCAGCCCCTCACGCGCTAAGCGGTGCCAGGGACCACACGAGCACATTAGCACCTTTCCAGGCCTCGCACCCACCAGCAAAGTTACAGGGGGCTTTTTAAAGGGGCTCCCAAACACAAACGCAGGGCTCCGCAGCTGCGTCTCTTCTGAAACGCAGCAGCCTTGCACTCAGCCCCTGCCACTGATTGTTGCAGAGGACCTTGCATAAAAAAAAAAAGGTTACATTAAAATAACTGTCTTCTTACTAGAAAACAATTAGGGGAAAATAAATCAGGGAAAAAAAAAAAAAAAGTGACTGATCTTTCCCAAATCAGCAGCTGTGTAAGTTATTTCCCCTGAGGAGAGAGAACTTACCACAACTTCAGTCACAGCAAGATCTCAGTTTCTTTTTTTTTTTCCCCCCCTCTCAGTCTTTCAGACAATATTTGACATTTAGCACCCTCAAATATGCCAGTCTCACCTCCTCTTCCCTTCCAAACACGCTCTCTCTCAAGCCTTGGCTGAGCACCCTTGACATGATCCTGCAATCCCATGGCCATCAACAGCTATAAACTGCCAACCAGACAACTAGACTCTCCCAACAAAAAGCCCAACCACCTCTGTACAACCACCTTACAAAAGGTCATGCTGGAATCCCCCATCCATGCTTGTTCTTTCCAGCATTTAACTTCATTGGAGAACATCACCAAAGAGATGAACACAGGCGGAAACGGGGCAAAACCCCGGGCACCGCACAGCATCGCTCATGCTCATGAGCCAGGATGGGCCTCGACAGCTCTCATCTAAGGCCACCGGGCTCCTTTGGACCTGGCCGTTGCTCTGCGCCACCACCACCCCGTGGGGACCGTCACTCCAGACCGTCCCAGTGACATCCTGGCGGCAGCACATCCCGCAAGGATCCCAGGGAAGGCTCTGCTGCGCAGCCCCTCTCCCAAGCACCAGGGCACCAAAGAGGAGCCTCTGGGCTGCAGAGCCCGACGGGCTGCAGAGCTTTTTGTCCGCAGCGCTCCCATCTCCCCCCGTTTTTGCAATAGAGATACGTGGCTTCCCCGTTTCCCCGGAGACCCTGGGCTCACACTCCCTGGCTCCCGTTCCCAAAGAGAGCTGGACCGGGGAGGGGGGGAATACATAAAGAAGTGGAAGCCCAGGCCCCTGCTCGGGCAGCAGCTGCGACGTCACATTGCTCTGGAGAGCCTCCTGCCAAGCCTAGGCAACTGGGCAGCTCAGCTGAGCAGCAGAGCGGGCTGCTGGATCCAAACCTGCTGCCCCAGCCACAGAGAGGAGAAAACCCCACAGTCATTGCAGCCTGGGTGCTCGGTCCCCATCCGGGCATGCAGAAGCTTGTCTGCTTCTCTGGAAACGGCGTGGGAGCTGCACGGAAGCACCTCGCAGCAGGGAGTCCTGCACCTCCACCCCATGAAGCATCTGCTGCTAAAACAACAGGGCAGCTGAGCAGCCCCTGCCCCACACCAAGTTATACCAGGATTTTCCACCTCCTACCTCTCCAATAAGACAGCAGCACCTTCTCACTCACGACGCAACGGGCTGAAGCGCCCCTGATACACAAGGATGCCGCGCTGCAGCACAGAGGGGCTGCATTTTGCAGCAGGAACGCCAACAGC